GGAGGTCAAATTATTAGATTATGGAATACAACATGATTTCTATTCTGAATTATCTAATAAACAGTTTGAATTAAATATGTGGGAGGTCAAATTATTAGATTATGGAATACAACATGATTTCTATTCTGAATTATCTAATAAACAGTTTGAATTAAATATGTGGGAGGTCAAATTATTAGATTATGGAATACAACATGATTTCTATTCTGAATTATCTAATAAACAGTNATGCAGATCGGATCGCTAATGGACAGGACAGATCGAGGAAACTTTGATAATTCCAGGATCAGGATTGAAAACACGAGAAGTTCCTGGGAGATGAACGGATTCTGGAGCAGGAGAAGAATGGGGTTTCTGAGCAGGTTCGGATTCTTTCCTTCTCCACAGCTACCACTGAGACATTCTAAATAATAAAAATAATTATTAAGTTGGTCAAATTAAGTTAGTCTTTAAGCTTTATAAAAAAGGTGTCATTCAGACAATTAAATTAAAAAACGTTAACTATAGACGACGACATTTAAAACAAATGCTGTTTTGCCATTAATAGGAAAACACACATAAATGTGACAAGACATATTCGTTGCTTTATCTAGAAGTATGATGGGGGGGGGGGCACTACGCACTATCCCTCCCGACCATCTAGTTATTTTGAACCGCAATAGGCGAAATAGGCACGGTTCCAAGATTTTACGACTTTCAAAGTTTTCAAATTTACATATGTTTACTATGTCGACTGCCTCTATATACTGGCTTTTCCCATAATATTTAGAAATCTGTTAAAGACTTTATATTTATCTACCATGTTCAATACGTCCCATGGTTGATGTCCCAATTTACCATGCATGGGCGGCTTAAGGGGGGGGTGGAAGTCCATTACCCCCCTCCTGAGTGAAATCAGGGGGGAGTGTACCCCCCTGGTTTTTGACCTGGAACAGGTCATCTATGACCACCGACAGGTTGGTCAAGCTGAAAAGAATGGCGATGCACCCAAAGTGACTTGCCTCAATTTCGGGCAACAGTGTTTTATATGCCTTTATTTCAAGCTGCCCAAGGAAACTAAATTATCTTAGATTGGAAGAAGGGAGAGGATATTTTTATTTTTCTATTTTTTATTTTGAACAAAAATGTCTTTTTTTTACTCTCAGCTTTCTTTTGGTATACTTTTATTTTTAACTCTAAAGATAAACATAGAAACTATTTGCAGGCAGTCTCCTGCAAGAAAAAGTTAGTATGATTTAAGAAGCATTACTTACTAAAAAATAATAATAATAGCAAAAAATAAAAAATAATTATTCCTTCATTAGAGTAATATGATTTGTACGAGGGATCTTCAGTAAGTGTTGCGAAAAATGTGTTTAAGGTACTTCTAGACGTCTCAATCCTGTTTTTTTTTCAAAGCTCACGGAATCCAACCTACATGACTTCTCCCAACAAACTTTATTCATCAAACTTTTTAAATTCTGTAATCCGCCTTTTCCCTGAGGTTGTTTAGCTCCGTTGTCACAGTGCGGGAATGTTTTAAATACCAACCCGGGAAAGAAAAACCTTTAGATGCTTGATACACAAAAATTCGGACCTTGAGCTTTCTAAATACAAAGATACCTTTAACATGATCCAAAATGCATTAGAGGAGAATAATATGGACAAGGCAACCGTGTACATGTGGACTAAAAGGGAAAAAGTGTAATGGAGATTGTGGACAGAAAGAGGAAATGTCTGCGCAGGAAAAATCCACAAAAACCCCACAAACAGTCCACACAATTGAAAGTTTCGCAGATAAAATTCGCGAGGAGCTTCGTATTTGATGAAGTTTGATGCCTTTGGGATCTGAAATATGGTGCTGCGTAGACAGTTTTGGACAACATTTGTTCCAAAGAGGTCCTGGAAAAAGATATTAAGTGTTTTGTTGAAAAGAGGGGAGGAAGGCCATCCACATCAATCTCTAGTCCAAACCACATTCTCATCATTTTCTCGTCCGAACCACATCGAAATCCTTGTCCTTTCAATATTATTTTTTTTATGTGTCTGATCCTTGAAAATAAATACATTTTTTAAAAATATGGCGACGTTTATAGGGCATAAATCATGACTAGAATAAAGTTTTCCAAGGATTTTGAGATGTTGGAATCTTCAAATCCACGAGAATAATGTCAAACATTGTTTAGGTTAAAAATTGAATCTCTTCTGCCTCCAAAATGGATAACTTTCACAAATAAAAATTTATACCAAAGAATTTGCGTGAACATGGTCTTTAATCTTTCCATCTCAACTCATACAAAATAATCATTGATTTCTGATTTATTTCCAAATAAGGTAGATTTGTTGTCCCCACTAAGAGATCACTACTGCCTGCCGCATGCTTAAAATTCTAGAAAAAATAATGTTCAATTTATATTATTCAAATCATTTGCTACAATTAATGAATTCAAACAGTATTTAATCATATAAAAATTGTAAGTCATATCTCTAACCCAAATTCAGCGGAAATATTACAAAAAGTTGTTTACATCGAGTTTGAGAATGTTTTGCGGCATTTTCCGCGAAAGAAAGGGCTCTTTACAAACGCTTTTTTGTAGAACATCGTTTATGGAGCATTTTCATTTTTACACAAATCTAAAATTTAATTGGGAAAATTTTATATTTCATCTATGCCCTAATGTCGCCATATTTTTAAAAAATGTATTTATTTTCAAGGATCGGACACTTAAAGAAAATAATATTGAAAGGACGAGGATTTCGATGTGGTTCGGACAAGAAAATGAGGAGAATGTGGTTCGGATTAGAGATTGATGTGGTTGGCCTTCCTCCCCTCGTTGAAACGTAGATTACATCTATAAAACCCTCAAGTGCACATTCTACAATAAAGGCTTACCCTACTTTGACTTTTTAAGTTCACCCAACCCTTAGAATATGCATAAATGGATAAAGTTTGAGTCTATGGATAAAATATTTAGGAGCTGTGACAAACAACGTTAACGGGCTCAGGTGTGGCGTTATTTCTGGGTAAACGTTAAATAATGGTATTAGACTCTACACAGCAAATTTTCCGCGGCATTCGTGCACAATTCTGTGAATGTAAACAGTAAATTAAGTGAAAGTATTTCTCATATTTGAGAATCAATCAAGTTTTGCTGAGCGACAGACAGAAAAAATCAATTGTTTTAACATTAGGGATCGATATGACAGCGTTTACGTAAGTTAATTGTTAATTGATTCTGATACTTGCAACTAATGAGAGTTGAATGTATAGTTAATTACCTCTGTACTCACATTATATATATCAGCATATAGTGTATATTTTAAGTGCATAAATATAATTTCTAACTTTAAAATTTTAGATAAAATACCAGATTTCTGTTGTGCCTACAGCCGTAAACTGCGAAAATATGCGGGGATGCCGCGGAAAATTTGCTGCGTAGAATCTACTACCATTATTTAACGTTTACCCGGAAATAACGCCACACCTGGAGAGAGCTAATTGCGTCCAACATATTATCTGAGAGAAAGATAATTGCGTCCAACATATTATCTGGGAGAAAGATAATTGCGTCCAACATATTATCTGGGATAAAGCTAATTTGCGTCCAACATATTATCTAATTTTCATTAGCTGGCAAGGAAATTAAACCGGTAGAAATATTGTGAACTTAAAAAAAACTTTAGGGCTGAGACGTCTAGAACTGTACCTTTAAAAAATGTTTCGCAAGACTTATTGAACATCACTATTATGATGTTAATGTTATACATATAAACTTTAATCCATAATATATATCGTTATTAGATAAATAAATGGTTTAGTAAGACACTGACGTCTCGTGTGTATCATAACCCATGTGAATTCTATGTCCAATGTGTATAATGTCTCCTGTCCAAAGTCTCATGTCCCATTCTATATATGACCCATGTCCCGTTCCCAATAGCAATTCCAGATGTTCAATGTCCAATTTACAATGTCATTGTCCAGATGTATTGTACAATGTAGATACATACAATGTACAATGTCATTGTTCAGATGTATTGTACAATGTAGATACATACACTGTACAATGTTATTGTCCAGATGTATTGTACAGTGTAGATACATACAATGTACAATGTCATTGTCCAGATGTATTGTACAATGTAGAGACATACAATGTACAATGTCATTGTTCAGATGTATTGTACAATGTAGATACATACAATGTGCAATGTATTGTCCAGATGTATTGTACAATGTAGAGACATACAATGTACAATGTCATTGTCCAGATGTATTGTTCAATGTAGATACATACAATGTACAATGTATTGTCCAGATGTATTGTACAATGTAGATAGTACATACAATGTACAATGTCATTGTCCAGATGTATTGTACAATGTAGATACATACAATGTACAATGTCATTGTTCAGATGTATTGTACAATGTAGATACATACAATGTGCAATGTATTGTCCAGATGTATTGTTCAATGTAGATACATACAATGTACAATGTCATTGTCCAGATGTATTATACAATGTAGAGACATACAATGTACGATGTCATTGTCCAGATGTATTGTATAATGTAGATAGTACATACAATGTATACAATGTCATTGTTCAGATGTATAGAAAATGTAGAAACATACAATGTACAACGTTATTGTCCAGATGTATTGAAAATGTAGAGACATAAAATGTACAATGTCATTGTCCTGATGTATTGTACAATGTCTAATGTACGCCGTGTACGCGTGAAGATGAAAGTATAAGCTTGGGAGAGCGTGGGAGCTGTCACTTCTCTTAGATTTCTCCTAATATTATGATACTAACCGGTTTCATGGCTCTAAAGGACTTCACTCAGACAAAAATATGATTTCTATAAATTTTTCATATTTGCAGTTTCACAAATTTATAAGTTTATTATATTTACTCGAATGTTAAAAGATTCAAAAAGCTAAATTTACATGTAAGAGAATATTTTGCCTGACTGCGTGAAGTTTACTGCCTGACTGCTTGTTGGTTTCAAGCTGTATGTTCGTAGAACAGTTGCATTCGAGAATACGCTCCGTAAATATATAAATTTTTAGATATCAAAGTTATAAATCAGCTGAAAATAGGTGAATATACTTCATAAATTCTAATTATATTTAAATGAATTTATATATAATTTATTTCTAAAATGCAGTGTAGCTTATAAAATAAATGATACTTTTGATTGAACAGCTTATATATTGTTTTAAGCATAAACTTTAAAAACAATAAAATGGTCAGTTTTAAGTTTTTATATCTGAACACTGCTTTTTAAATAGATATTATATCATATCATATATTATATCATTTTTTTATGAGGACACAATGGATATCTTTTAAATTTGTCTTTAAGAAATCATCTTATTCCGCCCAATCTCCTGTAAATAGGGTTAAAAATTGTCGGATACCATCAAAATAATTATATAAAATCAGTTTTTTGTGTCGAAAACCAAATCTTAAGAATGAGAGCTAAAAAGGACAAGTAAATGATAAGTAAAAGGACAGGAAGTAGGACAGGACAGGAAGTAGGACAGGACAGGAAGCAGGAAAGGAAGGATTAATAAAGACTAGGCTGGAATAAAACAGGAAGTGAAATAAGATTTAATGAAGGAAGTACAAAGTAGACAGAAAGGAAAAAGGGATATTAACAGTAGGAAGGAAGACTATAGAAGAAAAGGAACCTTAAAAGAACTTCAAAAAGAAAAGAGAAACAAGAAATAAACTAAAACAATTGAAATAATTTAAATTTTATGCTTGGTCACTACTAACCAGTAACCAGTGTGCGTATTTGCACCAAAATTATGCCTCAAGCTTTAATTTGCACATTTAAGAGAAAAAAGTGTTTAGTTTAGTTTTAAAATAATAAAATCATTTTATAAGTGTAATTTTCTCATAGTTAGCTTGAATATGAGATATATCAACCATAACGTAAAAAATTTCAAAAAATAGGATGAACTTCATTTGGTATATATAAATATGTAAAATGAAGCCCATAAACTGTGAAGTAAGAAGACGACAGTTAGACTATCACTCAAGAATTACTTCAAATAGTGCAATGACCATGAAATAGCGTATTCGTGCAGTGTACACAGACCCATTTCACTTGGCAAGGGGATTTTAAAACTGCTGCATGTTAATTCTTTTTACTGAATAATAACTTCAATTACAAAAATTGCTTGGATCTCGTCTTGGTATTCCGCAGTATATGGAGCAAGTTTAGTGTGTTAAAAACAGCTAAATATAATTTGTAAGCGAACTACATATTTCTAAACATTTCCCGCGATATTTTGCAAAAACGTAGATTTTCTAAACGGAGAATAGCAAAAAGTCTACTTCTACAAAACGGCAACTACTACAATATGTTGACTACTACAATATGTCGACTACTACAATATATCGACTACTACAATATGTCGACTATTACAATATATCGTCGGTTACAAAATGTTAGATTATAATGGGTAAGGCTGGATAAAGTCAATTTCTGGGCCGAGTGCTGCAGCTAGGCATGGGCTAGGCGGCCGAGCGCTGCGGCCTCTTTTTAATGTTGATTATTGTGCTATCTCTCACAATTATTTTGGGTTAGGTTAGGTGAAGACAATTTCTGGGGCGAAAGCTTCGGCTAGGATAGGCTATGGGGCCGAGCGCTGTGGCCTCTTAAACGTTGAATAATGTGCTGCGGCCTCCTAAATTTTATTAATAATGAGCGGTCTTTCACATTATTTTGGATTAGGTTAGGTTAAGGCCATTTCTAGGCCGAGCGCTGCGGCCTCTGAAACGTTGAATAATATGATGTTTCGCACATTATTTTGGGTTAGGTTAGGTTAAGAAAATTTCTGGGCCGAGCGGTGCGGCTAGAATAGCCCTCCTAAAGGTTGAATAATGTGCTGATTCTTACATTATTTTTGGTTACGTTAAGTTAAGACAATTTCTGGGCTGAGCGCTCCGGATAGAGCAGGCTATTACATTAACAATAATTATTGCAGCATAATATTAAAGTATTACAATGCTGTATTGTTCGTCCTCCAAAATCCTCCCTTTCTTGTGAGATAAGACAAAATTAGCTGCAACTGCCATGACCGGAAAATAAATTGAAAGAAAGAAATTTTGCGTATTTCTAAAAAAATTCCGCAGATTTTTGACTAAAACTATTGCGTTTTTAGATGTCTAAAAATTTTGTAGCAGTTGATGTTTTGTAGTAGTCAACGTTTTGATACAGTCGACGTTTAGTATCATCGACGTTTTGTTATTCGACGTTTTGATAATCGACGTTTTGTACCCACTCCATATTTTAAACCATCCAAATCCTTTGGAAATGTGTTCTGTTCTAATACCATGGTGCAAAGCAGTTTAAAGATTTTAAACCGAGCTATTTTACCGTAGCAGGTCGTGCATAAGCTTAGGTTTATGCTCTTTTTGTGACCAATCTCCCCTTTAAGGTCTACAGTGTACAATTACACAATGAAGGATATTATGCTAAGTTAACTTTCATTTTTAAAACAAAAACAGTGTTAATATCTCGACCAAAATGGGGAGAGAGAATGTTAAATTCCGTTAGATTAAAAACCCTACACGTTCTTAACACATAGAGGTTTTTGGTATAGATTGTGTCCACGCCCCTCCTTTTATTTTTAAAGGGACTGTAAACGTAATTTCAAGAGACCCTTCTTGTTATGTAAAGAAAAATATCTTCCACATTATTAATCAGATAATCCATTTTAATGTTTTTACAAACGAAACGTTCAGCTCTGAAACCTAAAACGAACGGCTACCGGAAAAGTTTTTTTGATGATTTTTACTAACCGTTCACGAATATATTGGAAAATTCTAAACGTCATTCTTTATAAAATGAACTTAAGCCTTTTTTAGAAACTGGATTGGTATTTGATGCTTCTATTTTGTGTTTAATTTAAACCGTTTCGCAAGAAAAATAGATTTGGACTTTATGATATTCTAGTTTTATCCAAATATCTCAACCCTTCACTTTTCTGAATCTAGATTACTCTAAAGCAGGAGGGACAGAGGGAGGGAGGGAGGGAGGGACAGAGGTAGGGAGGGCAACGTCTTCTGAAAAACTTTCTAACGAGGGTCGTTTCACCAAGATATTTCTGACAGTTCGCAGTTTTCGTTTGTTGTTGTATAAAATATTTTATAATTACGCAGATATTTTGAACCAGACACACTGATAATTCGGATATTCTACACCAGATACACTGATAATTCGGATATTTTACACCAGATACACTAACAATAAGGATATCCTACACCAGATACCCAGACAATTGGAATATTTTACACCAGATACCCTGATAATTAGAACATTTTACACCAGATACCCTAATAATTAAAACATTTTATACCAGATACCCTGATAATTAGAATATTTTACACCAGATACACAGATAATTAAAACATTTTATACCAGATACCCTGATAATTAGAATATTTTACACCAGATACACAGATAATTAGAACATTTTACACCAGATACCCTGATAATTAGAATATTTTACACCAGATACACAGATAATTAGAACATTTTACACCAGATACCCTGATAATTAGGATATTTTGCACCAGTTACCATGATAGTTAGAACATTTTACACCAGATACCCTGATAATTAGGATATTTTACACCAGTTACCATGATAGTTAGAACATTTTACACCGGAAACACTGATAATTAGAACATTTTACACCAGATATCCTGATAATTAGAACATTTTAACAATTTACACCAGATACCATGATAATTAGAACATTTACACCTGATACACTGACAATTAGGATATTTTACACCAGATACCCTGATAATTAGAACATTTTACACCAGGTAAACTGATAATTAGGTTAATAAATCAAAATGATTGTCGTCTTTGTTTGGATCCTAAAATAAAATGTTAATAGTTTGAATACATGTCCAGATTATATTCATAAACAGTTACTAATTACAATTAAAAGTCAAGATACTTGATATTAAGAATTTAAAGGGTTAGTTACCAAGACGATTAATAGGATAGATTGATAAATAAAACTATTTATGATTATACAGCTTACTAATTTTAATGTATTAGCTCAAGATAAAGCTCATAGAAGCATATCTTTTATAAATTATGAAAAAAATTGACAACATTAAAGTAGAATGAATGGACATTTTTTTTATACGAGGTTGTTTTGTTTTGTTATTTATTTAATCGAATCCCTACCTTAAATATAATGTTAGTGTGGGTGCTTTCAGTCAAGTTTGCAGGTGTTTTGTGCGTGTTTGTGTGTGTGTGTGAGCTTAAGCGTGTGTCTGCGTGGAGATCCCGTTATTCTCTCTAGAATTAGGTCAGAGAGAACCGTCTGGTGAAAACTGTAGTTTTACTGCCGGGAGAATCTACTAAAATATAGACACATTTCAGTAGGAGAATCTACTTAAATATAGACACTTTTCAGTAGGAGAATCTACTCAAATATAACACAATTTAGTGGGAGAATCTACTCAAATATAGACACATTTCAGTCGGAGTAACTACGCAAAGTTGTAAGTAAAATAAACGAGAATTTTGACAAACTTTATTTAGACATATAAATCTATATATAAATTTGGCTTGTCTGTCTGTTTGTTTGTTTGTTTGTTTGTTTGTTTGTATCCAATAAACGTCAAAACGGCTGAACCGATCGGGCCCAAATTTGTTATGGGACATCACTTGACCACAGGGAAGGTTCATGAATGATAAAAATTAAAAAAAAGATGGGTGCGAAGCGCCCTAAAAGCCTAGTGTCTGTAAATTTTAATTCGTTTGAGAGGGAAAATGTGCCTAAATTTTGGGGTTTAGCAAGAGAATTTACGCTAAAATGACAGTTTCTTTTCGCGGGGAATTTTACGCAAGAAACCAGTTTTCAGTTTCCAATTAATAGCTCTTAGTCTTACATGCGTTTTAATCTGTGGGGAGGCTCTTTGCTAAAAATCTTATTTATTTTGTCAAAAATAAAAACATATTAATGTTAATTTACTGACGCAAATTTTAGATTTACATTGGACTTTTAAATTGGATAATATTTTTATCTTCAACGCATGATTATTTTATTTATACGCATAACATAATTAAGTTTCACATAAAGTAAAATCTTGGCGACTTGCAATTTTTTCATAAACTTTCCTTGTTTTGCAAAACAATTGTTAAGCTGTTGCCCCCCCCCCCCACCTGTGGACTTGCATGCGCTTTCACACTGCTTGGCTCTGCTATTGGTGGATTCCTAAATCCTGCCTTTCTATTGGTTGACGCAGCAGTCGTTGAACTCTGACATTGGCCTAGAAAGTGTTCCACCCTGAGCACAGCTGTACCGGTACACTAACAGCTGAGACAGCAGAACCGGCCGGCTTTAAATACCAGCTGTTTTTCAGGAGTTTGACGCTTTGCCGAATTTATGATTTTTTAATTATAATAATATTAATAATAATAATGATAATAATTGTCGATCAAATTAGTCATATATGCAAGATGAATTTGCTAATGCTTATGTTACAATTTTCTTAAGAAATAGGGTAAAACATCATTTCTTAAGAAAGTATTTTTTGGCTTTCATTGTAAAAGAACGTTTATTTTACAAGACTTAAAACATTTCTGTTTTATATCTGGTATAATTTAAACATTCACGGGGTTGTTGGTTTTATTTGAACGAACAAATGTGTGTTTGCTAAGATGTGTAGTTGAGTGAAGGGTTGTATGAGTGAGTGTGTGTGTGGTTAATACAGTTCTAACTGTACATAACTGTATCCTGCCTAGCTACGATACTGTTCTCTAGTTCGTTCAACTCTCCGGAGAAATCTGCCAATACATATTTACCAGGAGGAGAAATCTGCCTTTCCCTTGCAAAAATGCATTTTGCAGAGAGAGTTTCTACAAGCTAATCCAGTTATCAAGCTTTGAATACATCCTCTATCCCCCCCCCCCACTATCCTGCCAATGCGATCAATACCAAGTCTAAAGTTTCGTTTGTTTAAAGGAAAACTTGACAACTTCTCAATACAAAAAAGGTTTATAGATAGTTCAGGATAGTCCGCAATCATATATTTTTCAAAAATAAAAGTTTGTGATTTCCACTTTTAGTGGAACATATTTTTCTAAATTATGAACATTTTGTTTTAAATTATGAATATTTTGTTCTAAATTATAAACATTTTGTTCTATTTTATGAACATATTGTTCGAAATTATGCACATTATGTTCGAAATAATGAACATTTTGTTCAAAATTAGTAACATTTTGTTCGAAATTAGTAACATTTTTTTCGAAATCAGTAACATTTTGTTTAAAATTATGAACATTTTGGTCGAAATTATGATCAGAATGCATAGAGATATCTTTTTTTTATATCCCTAATATTTTAAATGAAATGTTCTTTTAGCACAGTTCGATATGATGATGAAAATGTTAGACTTTTTTTCTATCAGCATGATTTCTATGACAAAATCCAATAACATCAAATAGATACAAGATCAAATTTTGAATACACAAAAATAGACATTCCCTACAAAATCATTTCAGATTTTTATATAGGACTAACAATTCATATCGTTATTAAGAAACTCAGTAATTTCGATTCTCTTAAATCGTAGTTATAATTATAAATTCTTTTCATTAAAGATGATGGGACACTCAAATCTATTCCGCGTTTATTTAAAGTTTAAAGATTTGAAATTAACCGATAGTTTTATATAAAGAAAGAACTATAATGATCAGAAGAATATAATTCCTAATTTCAAACTTAAATTTTCTAATATTCCTAAATTGAACTATTTTATCTAGTTAAAAAATAATAAGGTTCTACGACATTGGGTTGCAAAGAAACAGGGATGAGAAAATCAGAGTTTGTATCAATAACTCAATTCCTTTTAACCATCTTTATGTCTCCCTGCTTAATTTCTTACAAATATAAATAAATAAACTAAATGACGTCCAGATTTATAATTTTTCTAAATAATAAAACCATGCATGATAATTGTGTTTTGAAAACAAAGTATGAATTTTCATTCCAGTATTTTAAGATTATGCCTGTGTGGTTTACCGACGCATCAAACTTTTGACGTATTGACGCCTTTTCACCAACTTCTACGCCGTAAAATAAAATGACGCATTAAACGCAGATTTCTCTAGATATTTCCCTCACTCTCCAGGTTTCCCATCCCGTCATGTTTTCCTCTGATTTCTCCACAAGGAATTCACCGCTAAATAGGTCAAAGGTAGATACAGGTCCTTCAACCTAATTCAAGTAGAACCTGGAACCCGTAGCTCTAGCTAGGATCGGATAGATCTAGTTTGGTAACCAACCTACCTTGCATAATCTTCTTTCATTGTATCTTACACATATTCTTCTCGTTTTCCTCACCATTTTTCAATTTCAATATTCTTCTTCTCTTTTCTTTGACAATTTTCTTTTTAATTTTCTTCACCTATCCTCTTTCTCCTTATTTTTCTTTCTAAAACATTTCTTTCTTTATATCTTTATATCAATTTCTTTTTTCTTTTGGATTTTTCTTTTATGATTTTCGATTTTCTTGTGATAAATTATCTTTCTGGCTCTTGCTATTTCTTATAAACTTCTTTCTCCGAAAACATTATTATTATGATCTTATTTCTTTTTGGTCTAAAATTTAAATTAGTCAGATATTTTTGTATAAGAAAGAAAATTATGCTAAGGAGTGGAAATTAAATGGAGTAAGATCAGCCATAAGTAGAAGGTTAGGATTAATAGGAGAAAAGGAAAAGGAGAAGGGTTAGGTTTAAGGGTAGGATTAATAGGAGAAAAGGAATAGGAGTAGGGTAATTGGTATGAGGGTAGAATACTCTCTACCAAACACCACTATATCTTTGGTCAGTACAGGGCAGATTATTGGAGTAGGATATTGTTTGAGGATAGGATAAATAGGAGAATAGGAATTGGAGAAGGATAAGGATTAAGGATAGGATAAATAGGAGAATAGGAATTGGAGTAGGATAAGGTTTAAGGGTAGGATAAATAGGAGAATAGGAATTGGAGAAGGATAAGGATTAAGGATAGGATAAATAGGAGAATAGGAATTGGAGTAGGATAAGGTTTAAGGGTAGGATAAAGAATAGGAATTGGAGTAGGATAAGGTTTAAGGGTAGAACGAAGATATGTAAGATAAGGAATGCAGAGATTACTGAGTTTTCAATATACTTGAATACTTGATATTATTGTTTGCTTGAATTCAGGGGATTACAGAGGGGTGTTGTGTGTGCGTGCGGGGGGGGGGTAGCAAGGGGAGGAGGGAGAGTAGGTATTGAAAGGGTTAAAGCAAGACCTATAGGAGCGTACTGCAGATATGAACATTCTCATACATTCTTGGGAAGCCTCAGCTAAGATCGCACTTTCTCTCTGGTTCGTTGAACCCTAGAACAACAGTTTCAGTGTTCTCCAACTCCCCCCTTTTATGTGTACCCGGAGTATTAAACTAAACACGTTAGATCAGATTCTTTTCAAACCAATTTACAGTTTTATGTTTCAAGTCATCTTCCATTCTTTTCACACCGTTATCATCACTGTAACGGAAAAGTATTTTGATTAAAAGTTTTGAAAAGGGTATAAGTCAACTTTCGGTGGTAAAGTTATCAAAAAGTGTCTGTTGATTTATTGGTAGTATAAGCCTAATGTTTGCAAAGTGGTATCATATAAATAATTGTTAGCTCAATGCAGTTTACGGGATTTGCGAATCATGTTTTGCAAATCTTATCCGCGGGCAAGGAGAAACAAGCGCGAAACCTGCAAAATNCTTGGTGTGTGCCCCTGATAAAGGTTGATGCACTCTACTCCTGGAGAAACCCTTACGTGGAGAAACTGCTTAGTTGAGTATAGAGAGGAGCCAACCAGAGCTCAGGATTCGAGATTTAAACACTGTTGCTTCTCCGCAATAGCGCGCAGTAACTAGGCTTTAGGATACGCGGCATTTTTCAAAACAACACGGGACATCTTCAGTTATATTTCGGTAGTAGGAGAGAGCAGACGTTTAAACTAAACCTTTGCCATTGAAGTAGTTTGTGAAAGAAATGTTGAAGTTTTACATTGACATTGACAGTTTTTCATCGGAGCAAGATACAACTCGGGGTCTTTAAATCATAAACATTTATAACAGCACTCATCTCTAATCCCGTTCTAGATTCAAACACTAGTTCTAACTTAACCGTAGATCCAATCTAACCATGGATCTGATCAACTCATACAATATCGGAGATTGGGACTCGGAATGCGATGATACTAGGGGGCTGTAGGAATGTTTACCTTTCAAAAAACATTTTGTTTATCTTTAGGAAGAGCCGGGACAGATTTCTCAGCTCTCCTACCCTCCAACAACCACACCCCTTTACAACCGCCCTCCAACCATCCTAACTCCACCTTTCACCATCTAATTGGCACTTGTTCAAATTCTACTAAATACCCCGATGTCTGCTCCGAGTACTATCAAGAGCACGGAGGAGACCGTGGAGTCCTACCCGGAGCAACAGGCCGAGGATTACGCTCAGCACTGCGGAGTTGTCATGTCCGAGAACGAAGTAACGAACGGATTCGTTAAAGATGGCTCCAGTTTACCCTATATATTTGAAACAAATGATTCTGGTAAGCTTTCACAAACTTTTATATTTAATCCAAACTTTCTTCTAAACTTCAAAATCCTTTAAAGGAATTAGTCCTTTCCAAAAACTCAATTTTTACTATCCCTATTTCTTTGCACCCTGCAGGTGTAAACCGTTGATATTTCAAACTTTGATTATTTGATTGAACAGAATTTATAGTTTGAAAGTGCACGACATCAGGGTGTAAAGATATAGGACTTAGAAAACTAGAGTTTGTGACAAAGACTGAATTCCTTTACAGCTGCACCTACTTCCTGTTTTGACCGTCTGTTATTCAGGAAACCGGAAGCGCTCTTCTAAGATCCTTCCTGTTTGCGGGATGTGCGGAAAGAAGTTTGTCTGTGTTACAACCATGAAGCGTCATCTTGTGACCCATACCGGAGAGAAACCCTTCTCCTGCAAGGTGTGTGGAAAGCAGTATACGCAGAAAGGAAATCTCAGGGTAAGATTTTACAAAGATTTTTTTCTTTTCGATAATAATTCAATTTTTTAAAATCCTTATTTCTGATTGTTTCAGGTTCATGAACGAACTCATAGAAATGACCGACCTTTTGAGTGCAACATTTGCTTACAGAAGTTTTACAGGAAAGAACCAATGCAAAAACATCAATGGCGACAGCATGGAGTTGTGCATTTTAAGACTAGGCCCACCAACACCGCAACCAACAACAACATCAACAACAACAACTCCCAACCTTCTCTTGGTATAATCGGAGCTGAAGGAATACTTTATCATTCCCTGACTGAGAGCATCAAGGAGGTTAATAGCGGAGGTTGGAGTCAAGCAGAGATTAAATTTGAGGAGATTAAAAACCCGGAGAATACACAGATTTATGAACCGGATCAAGACCAGGTTCAGGTTCATATTCAGGTTCAGGATGAAGATTCAAGAGAAGAGTTTATCCTTCTCCAGAATGTACCTCCCATCCTACCGGAGGAGAAGTTTGAAGTTCCGGAACCCGTTGAGGAAACTGTAGTACACACTACGGATTCAGAAACTTTAGTTCAGATCACAGAACCTGAGACTACAGTTCATACCACAGATCTGATAGATCATGAAGAGTCATTTAAGCCTATAAAACTAAAGATGAAACTAGCTCAGGCTTACATGAAGGAGATAGAGGAGAACAGAGAGAGAGAAGAGAGATATGATCAAGGACGGGAAGGACGAGATAGATCTGATTTATCTCCATCTGTCTGCAGAATTGATTATAATCTAGGAGAGTTCAGACTATCAAGCTCAGATAGCAATTCAACCAGTAATATTGAGAGCAACCCTAACAGTAGACCAGAGAGTCGACTTCCGTTTCTCCAGCCTGACTTGAAGGTACCAGACCTGTTCTCCTGTCCCCCAGATGTTGCTGATAGCCAGGATAGTTTAGAGTTTCTCTGTAAGGCCTGTGGAACCACATGTCTTGTGTCGGATCCGTACAGTTTCAGTTGCCCTGTCTGTAATATCAAATATACATCTATGCCGACCAATATGATTGCAGATCCTCTGCAGTGTATTGGTTGCATGGAGCTATTTCCTCATAAACCTGCTCTTAAACAACACCAAAGCTCAGAGGAGAAAGAACGTCCGTTTAAATGTTGCAAATGTGGATTTGGATTCAGACAAAAGGCGCATCTTCAGAAGCATCAATGGCGGATACATAGGAAAAGGTTTGAGGCGGAACCTAATGTTCGTGTGGCGGAGGCACTTCTTTCCGCCGTTGACGGTGTACCAGTTGTAAACCAGGAGCCCGAGCTCCAAATTGACCCTTCTACTATGGTCTACACTGCTGAGCAAAAGGTTCCAAAAGATTACTCCAGGAGAACAGAATTGGAACCAGCTCCTCTCGATCTCTCACCCACTAAGATGTATGGAACCCCGGGCAGTATTACCAAGTGGGTGGAGCAGGTTGAAACCGCAAGAACCCCGATAATCCCTGATATATCAATCATGAAGAAAGCTCCAACTGAAGCGATGTCTAGGTTCCAGGAGTTGTTGAGCCGACCTGTTCGGAAAGAGCAAGTTCAGCTTCATATCATCAATTCTCTCTCCGGTAGAAGAGAAGAACCTCTCATCATCCACCTAGGAGAAAATAACTCTGAAACTAACTCCAAACCGTTTGCAATCAAAACAAAGATTCCGGAGCAAGTATTAAACAATAGCTGGAAGAATATGGAACAAGCCAACAATCCTCTTTTGAATCAGATCATGCAAGAACCACAAAAACCGTCTCAGATTCTTAACTCATCTCTTGCTCCTGCTGTCTATATAAGTCGAGCGTCTAAGCGTCCCAGAACGGATCCTATTTTACAAACGGAATCGAATCCGTCCGTAAACCTAACACGTGCAATCCCGTCACAAAATAACAATGCTGAACGGTCTGGTCTACTGGAGAAGGATTTCCTAATCCGACCCAACCTGGCGAACAGTCCTGACTCCGTAGCTACTAGACTTCAATCCCCGCTGTCCTTGAACACAACTCCGTTGCGGCTAGACACGCCTTACTCCACGGTGTCTCCGCCTCTAAACCTGACACATCCCCAGGTCTCCCCGTATGATTACAGAATTGGAAAATCAAATCTCATCTCCGGACACTTCCAGAGACTAAAGAGTCAAGATGATAGATCTGGAATCTAAATCCGACCTTGAAGTTGACAACTAGAAACAATTGGTTTATTTATCAACAAAACTGGCAATTTTAGAAAACTTGCAAAATTTCTCATTTTTAGCTGTGATATTCAACATTATTCTTCCATACAGTGTACCTTATATGCAATGTTTACATTTTTATATTGACAAAATGACATTTATCCTACTAAACTATAAATTGACCCATGGACTTTGATTTAGCATTATATTATACAGTAATTTTATCCACAAATATTAATTGAATGTCACACATTTTATTCGGAGTCTTTCCGTAACATAGATATATTACTAAAAGTATATAATTTGTTGCAGAATACTTTTTCAAAGTTTTATTTAATTTCATGATATATTTTTCTAAAAGTTTCCTGTCTTTTGGGTGATTTTGGGGAATTATTTCAGAACTCTAGTTTCTTATTGTTTTTGTTAAATTGTTATTTAATAAATTTTAATTATTACAATATTCATTTGTATTTCTTTTTAAAGTTTTGAACTGATAACTCGTACACAAACTTTTACTCTTTGCAACCTGATGTCACAGGCGTTCGACATTTCAAATTTTGTGAGGTCAAATATTTGAAGGTTTCGTTAAAAATGGACATGTCAAATTTAATTTCACTATATTATCTCTTTAAAGAGTTTTAATTTGTTGTCCAGTTTAAAGCACGAAGAAAGAAATCTACAGCTTTTTTTGTTAAATGTAAACTAAAGTCGAAACTTTTGAGTGGTATCATTGATCTTAAATTCTTGATTTTGATATTGATACTGATCTTGATATCCAACGGGATACCGATCTTGACATCTAACGGGATACTGATCTTGATATCCAACGGGATACTGATCTTGATATCTAACGGGATACTAAAGAGGAATTAATCCTTAGGTCTGCTGTAGAGGGAGATCAATACACTAATGATAAAATATAGAGTATAAAGTATTTCTCACTTAAGTTGACATTAAGTATGATAATGAATAATAAAACGTTTCCAATATTAAAACAAGAGTGTTAAAAATCTTATCTTTGGGAAAAAAGCGTAAACCAGCATTTTTCAAAATCTACAAATTAGAATTTTATCAGATAGTTTACATATCACTATGAATGTTTAAAAATTAAAACGTATTTTAAAGTATATGTTTAGATAATCATTTTTAAGATCTTGGCTCCCCCCCCCCCCTCCCCAACCGTAATTTATATAATTATGGGAAAGGAATTGAGTCTAGTCCACAAACTCTGATTTTCTGATCCCTATGCCTTTAAGCAACCCCATGTCACAGACCTTGGATGTATCAAACTATGAATTCGGTTTGATCAAATAATCTAAGTTTATAATATCAAAGGTTTGAGCCATCAGGTTGCACAGATAAAAAACTAGAAAATTTAAGTTTGAGGCTGCCAAGGACTCAATTCTTTCGGAGATGCGGTGGTCTTCAAATAATAAACTGGAGAGAAAACGAGTGAAAGCTCTTAAAAAGTTATTATAGCTTTGTTCACTAAACACTACGATTTTCTTTAACACAGGAACGACTTGTCGTCTTTTTGAGGTAAATTAAATAATTTTAGTTCTTGAGACAATAGATATAATCGTGGGATTTCTAAAATGTGGCTTGACTTATGAATAGTCTCTTCAAAATAGAGATACATTACATATTAACTTCCTGTGCTTGAAAAAGTTGATAAAAAGATAAATAGGCTCCGGTGTATCATGCCTTTGTTTTACAGAAGTCCAACTCCCATTGAACTGATTAACTTTATACTTTAAAATGTTATAAAATTACTCAGGCTCTTGAAAAATTAAGACGACATTCAGAAACGACGTGCTGGTACATTACCAAATTACCAATTTGTGTAGCCTCGCGTAAGCAATTGCTGAGATTTCAAGGAGGTTCCTTGTGACAAGTGAACATTTTGCCACTTTTAAGGAGGATGTACAATTTAATTAAGAGATGTGTTAATACTATATTAGTATAGATAATCTCAAATTTGTTGTAAACAATCCGGAATCTAAGGTTTTCAAAGTCTTAAACAACAAACACCATCCATGGTCCATCAACCTGAGTTCTGGATTTCCAAAAGTGAAGTTTGGCAAAATATTTTTATTTAAGGCCATGGATATCGAAAGACCACATCGGTCAGAGTGTTTAAAAGTAATGCTAGAACTCTGGTTTAATAATTTCCACTTGTCTGGGTGTTTGATTGTTTGCTTGTATGTCCTTTCAGGAACCCCATGGACCAATGTGCCTAAAATTTTCATTGGAAAACTCGGTAAAACAACGAGAATAAAATAACAAAATACGATCTCACAAAAAGATGCACTTTTCTGAAGATGCATGACTGAAAAAAAGTTACGTGCACGGGGCACACTATAGATTTTAAAAATATCCAAGTAAAGTTTCTTTCTGATAAACCCTTCCTTGTTTCTATCATAAGGAAAATCTAAAGATTCATTCTTTACATTCATATTTCAACTTTAAACATTCTTCATGTTAAAGAACATAAAATCAGGGGGGGGGGAAGTTCTAAATTTTAATACAGCTGTTTTGAAAAATAAACAATTCAATTGTAAAAATAAGGAACCAATCATGAAAGTAATAGTTTTTCATTATACAAGGTAAACCAATCTTCCTTGCCAGTTACCTCCTTAAAAACGTCATAATTTAAAAATGGTTTATTTTTTCATAACTTTTAATGGGCCGTAATTTCAAGTGACCCTAATATTCAATTGCAAAGTTTTGTCTGTTCCAGCATGAATTAGATATAAACATAATCATAATGTTATATCTTGAATTGTGCTTCCTCTGAAAAGTGACAATGAAGGAATTTTTAGAATTAAACACTTTTTTAAGCTAGAAAAACAAAGTTCTCTTCAACATTATTGGTTAGTAAAAGGTTTCAAGGGCATCTCCATCTTTAAATGGAGGCTCACTTGAAATTAGTACGACAGTACCTTTAATGGAGTGAATATATAACTGGGAATGTCTGAATAAGAAAGGTGGTCATCTTTATTTGCTCTAAAATCTGAAAGTCTATTCCAATCAATCTTGGAAAAGGTTGGAAAAGTTTTTTCTTTCTTCTATTTCATTTGATTCTCTGTTTACAGTTAGAGTCAAGGATATGAGAACCTTCTATATCTTTTCAAAACTCAAAGATTTTATTTCAACAAATGAACTGAACTGTAATTTTCAAGTCCCATGGTGTCCTAGACCTTTTATTTTCCAAATTATGACTTCTGTTGGATTAAATAATCTAACCTTGAAACATCAAAGATCTACACAAAGGTTGCAAAGAAACAGGGATTAGAAAAGGAATTGAGTCTTTGCCACAAACTATGATTTCACCATCCCTATATCTTTGCAACCCTATATCGTAGACCTTAGAAATTTCAAACTATGAAATTTGTTAGATCAAATAATCTAAGTTTAAAATATCAAAGGTTAAGGATATAGGGATAAGAAAATTCAGGTTTGTGTCAAAAACTCAATTCCTTTGGATTTGTGTCAAAAGCTCAGCTTCTTTAGGTTTCATATAATTAGCTTTATTGTAAAAGTAAGAAAATAAAAAAGTTTTCGTTAAAGTTTTCAAGCGGAAAGAAAATTTAACTGTGCATTGTTTACTTAAGTTTAAAGTTTGTGAGGACAAGGAAGAGAACTAAGAATTCTGATTGGTTCTCATGCAATGCATTTCAGCCTTTTACAAGTTTTCTCTTCATGCTCCTGGGACACAACATTCCAGATACAGAGAACCAATAGATGCTTTTACAGACTTGGAGAACTAGGAGAGCTAGGAGAACTAGGATTACTAGGAGAACTATGAGAACTATGAGAACTAGGAGAACTATAGGAGAACTAGGAGAACTAGGAGAACTAGGAGAACTAGGAGAACTAGGAGAACTAGGAGAACTAGGAGAACTAGGAGAACTATAGGAGAACTAAGAGAACTAAAAGAACTAGGAGAACTAGGAGAACTAAGAGAACTAGGAGAACTAAGAGAACTAGGAGAACTAGAAGAACTAGGAGAACTATGATAACTAGGAGAACTAGGAGAACTAGAAGAACTAGGAGAACTATGATGACTAGGAGAACTATGAGAACTTAGGAGAACTGGAGAACTAGGAGAACTGGAGAACTAGGAGAACTAGGAGAACTAGAAGAACTAGGAGAACTGGAGAACTAGGAGAACTAGGAGAACTAGGAGAACTAGAAGAACTAGAAGAATTAGAAGAACTACGAGGAGAAAAAAAGAAGAACCGGTTTTTTCTTAATTGAAAATCATTCAAAGAGTTAAAGAAATGCAGTGTAGCAATTAAAACAATCAAAAATATTTACTTTAGTTTTGTATTAACATTTAGAACTATAAAGTTGCTCAAAAAGAAAACTAGGATTGTATGCTTATACCATACTTTCCTCGGCTTAACTCTATTCAAATTTTTACTTTTCTTTTCCCTTTCAGACATTTTTTCTGCACTTTTGTCAATCTCCTTGATATTATATTTAATCAACACAACTACAATGAGCTCCAGAAAACTATGAAATAGGAAGACAATATGAAAGCAATCTTTAATTGTATTTGATGTTGGTACAGAGTAAATAGTTTTACTGTTGCTGTGTCTCATGATCATTGCACTATTTAAAGTCATAACTTGAGTCTGAAAGTGGTCTTCATATTCGAGAGTTTTCTGGTTCTCAGTCTCACTCAGTCTTCATATTCGAGAGTTTTCTGGCTCTCAGTCTCACTCAGTCTTCATAATCGAGAGTTTTCTGGTTCTCAGTCTTACTCAGTCTTCATATTCGAGAGTTTTCTGGTTCTCAGTCTCACTCAGTCTTAATATTCCAGAGTTTTCTGGTTCTCAGTCTCACTCGGTCTTCATATTCGAGAGTTTCCTGGTTCTCAGTCTCACGCAGTCTTCATATTCGAGAGTTTTCTGGTTCTCAGTCTCACTCAGTCTTCATATTCCAGAGTTTTATGGTTCTCAGTCTCACTCAGTCTTCATATTCCAGAGTTTTCTGGTTCTCAGTCTCACTGCATGAAAATTATGTTTCTTCCTAAAGTGTACGTATATTTAATCGTACTTTTTTGCGGTAATATACGTCTGCAATTGGATTTGCACAAAATATCTGCAAACAATCGCCATAAGTTTAAATTTTTTAATCTCTACATATTCGCAACCTGATCAGAACTGAAAACTTTAGAATTGGATATCCTTAATCCTGATCACTTAAGCGGAATATCCACTGTGGAATCTTCAAACTTTTACTTTTGTATAGGCCGGGAACCCGTGAACAACACCGAGAGCGTACTTCATATTTGATTATTGTACTGTATGTTAGGCGAGAATCTCCTAATTAGGAAACAGTTTAAGTAAGGTCACAAAGATTTCCAAAGAAATTGTTATCAATTTTTACATTTTCAAAAGCCATTTTTGATGAAATTTTATTTTTGCTTGGGTCTATATTTAAACAAATA